TAATGTACTGGACACTCTAACATACACCCTATAGTTTAACAATGTATGCATTATTAAGCCAATTAATAGTTTTTGTTATTTTAATGTAAATTATTGGTAAATAACTAGGAACTGCCTCTTCTTTCCCTATGAATACCCGCTTGTAATGGCTGGTAATCAGAGTGTCTATTCAGGGCACTTGAATCTATGCTCCTGGGTTACAATCCTCAAGCGTATAATAAACTCTCTACTTGTATTCATTTTCCCTCAGCTGCTTCCTTATAGATTGACAGGAGATTTGGGGGCTGTCATTCTGGCTGATGTCCTTAGTCCCATGACATTTCCTCTTTGCCTTCATCTTGCCCCATGGCAACTGCCAGCAAGTCAGCAGCCACAATTTCACCTACTTGCCATAGTCCAGTCTCATAGGGAAGGACGGCCCCATTTGTGTCCCTCAAATTTGAAGAGTAGTTCTTGCCATATAACTGCTATCCACTTTCTCACTATACCACACCTCTCCCCACCCACCCCCAGCTCCTACAACAGTAACCAGTGCTTAGTAGACCTATGATGAATATTTGTGGAATGAATGAGATAGGGCCCTGCCCTCACCAATTTTACATTCTGTTTGGAGAACCAGACAATAACAAACTCACGATTTGTGGTAAGGCCTATGAAGGGAAGAAACCAACCAATTGCAACAAGGAGGAACTATTTCAGTTGGACAAATAGGAAGGAGTAATTGAGGTGAGTAGTGATGGTGGCTTGGTCCAGGAAACAGCATCATAGACAAAAAGAGGTGGTGTACCTTTGGTGGTGGAATTGGTGATTCATTAAATGGGGGTGGAGGGAGAATGAAGGAGAGGAAGAAATGAAGACTTCTAATTTTTTTTTCTTTTTTTTTGAGACAGTCACTCCTGGAGTATATTCTAGGAAAGAAAATAAATAGAAATAATAGAGACAGAGTCATGCACTGTTGCCCAGGCTGGAGTGCAGTGGTGCGATCTCAGCTCACTGCAACTTCTGCGTCCAGGTTCAAGTGATTCTCCTTGCCTCAGCTTCCTAAGTAGCTGGGATAATAGGCGCACACCACCACGCCCGGCTAATTTTTTTGTATTTTTAGTAGAGACAGGGTTTCACTAAGTTGGCAGAACTGGTCTCAAACTTTCAACCTCGTTATCTGCCCACCCTGGCCTCCCAAAGTGCTGGGGTTACAGGCGTGAGCCACTGTGCCTGGCCTAAGACTTCTAAATTTTGACTTCAACAACTAGATGGATGTTGGTGTCGTTTACTGAGTTGGGAAAGACTGGGAAGGCATGAATCTAAAATCCATTTTGAACATGTTAAATTTAACCATTACAGGTCCACATTAATGTACCAAATAGGCAATTGGATTAGGCATGGTGGCTCCTTCCTGTAATCTTAGCACTTTGGGAAGCTGAGACAGAGGAGGATCACTTGAGCCCAGGAGTTCGAGGGCAGCCCAGGCAACATAGTGAGACCCCATCTCTACAAAAAATTAAAACATTAGCAGGGTGTTAGTGGCACACACCTGTAGTCCCAGTTACTCTGGAGGCTGAGATGGGAGGATTGCTGGAGCCCAGGAGTTTGGGGCTGCAGTGAGCTATGATTGCTCCACTGCACTCCAGCCTGGGTGACAGAAAGAGAGAGAGAAAAAAAAGGCAATTGGATAGATAGGTTTTGGATTTCAGAAGAGAGAGTTCTGGGGATATGAACTTAGGAGCCTCTACATATCTGCATAGTGATGGTGTTTAAAGCCATGGGATTAGGGGTGGTTTGGAAAAGAGGCTTAGGTCTGAGCTGTGGGGCCTACAATTTAAAATTCAAATTGAGAGGGATGAGTCTATAAGGGAGGGCAGAGAAGGGGTCACCAGAAGGGCATGAGGAAAACCAGGAGAGAAAGAAATACTGGAAAGCAAGAAAGGAGAGTATTTTGAGTCGGAGCAGCTGACATTCAGAACCCGACCAATGGTTAAGACTACATAATCTGAGGCTGGTGCGGTGGCTCGCACCTGTAATCCCAGCACTTTGGGAAGCTGAGGTTGTTGGATTGCCTGAGCTCAGGAGTTCAAGACCAGCCTGACCAACATGCTAAAACCGTCTCTACTAAAAATACAAAAATTAGCTGGGCATGGTGGCATGTGCTTGTAATTCCAGCTACCCAGAGGCTAAGGCAGGAGAATCACTTGAACTCGAGAGGCAGAGGTTGCAGTAAGCCGAGATCACTCCACTGCACTCCAGCCTGGGTGACAGAGGGAGACTTTGTCTCAAAAAATCAACAAACAAAAAAACAATCTGAATGCCAACCTCCTGTTTTTTTCTGGATCCCCTCTGTAGGCTTGGGCTCTGGGGCACTTTTCAGCCTACTAGCAATTCTCTGCTTCAGTTCCACTAAATTTGAATCTACCTTAAAAAATGGAAACTGGGCCAGGCATGGTGGCTCATACCTGTAATCCCAGCACTTTGGGAGGCCCAGGTGGGCAAATCGCTTGAGCTCAGGAGTTCAAGACCAGCTTGAGCAACATGGTAAAACCCCATCTCTACCAAAAATACAAAAAATTAGCCAGGCATGGTGTTATGCACCTGTGGTCCCAGCTACTTGGGAGGCTGAGTGGGAGGATCACCTGAGCCTGGGAGGTGGAGATTGCAGTAAACTGAGATTGTGAGACCAGGTGTCAAAAAAAAAAACCAAAAAAAAAACTGTCTCTGTAATATACATACATTCACCATGTTCGTTCATCCACTATTATTTATTGAAGGCATATTATGTGCCAGGCCCTAGGGATAAGATGGTAAAGAAAAAAAAACCCTAGTCCAGGCACTTAGGAAGCCCTCAGGAACTTACAATGTATAGGAGAAGACAAGTAAACAATTACCCAAGTAAGTATATGGTGCCATGAGAAGTGCCATGAAGGAAAAGCAGAGGGCATCAGGAGAACCGGTCACAGTGTTACTTTGCTTGGATTATGCATGACATGCTCAGCATCCACCCTTCACATGCAACTCTTTACTGTGCCCCAAGGCCATGCTTGACAGAGACTGGAGGGATTGGGTCTAGTCTCAGTCCTGCTACAAACTTACTGAGTGACCTTAAGCAAGTCTTCTCCCTTCTCTGGGCCTTTTTCTTCTATAAAATGGAAGACTGATGGTTAGACTAGATCACAGGCTTTTTTGTTTTTGTTTTTTTGAGACAGTCTTGCTCTGTTGCTCAGGCTGGAGTGCAGTGGTGCCATCTCAGCTCATGGCAACCTCTGCCTCCGAGGTTCAAGTGATTCTCTGGCCTCAGCCTCCCAAGTAGCTGGTATTACAGGCATGCACCACCACACCCAGCTAATTTTGCATTTTTAGTAGAGATAGGGTTTTACCATGTTGGCCAGGCTGGTCTTGAACTCCTGACCTCAAGTGATCCACCTGCCTTGGCCTCCCAAAGTGATGGGATTACAGGCGTGAGCTACCACACCCGGCCTAGATCACAGGGTTTTAATTTAAGACCCACAGATGGGCTGGGTGCGGTGGCTTACGCCTGTAATCCCAGGACTCTGGGAGGCTGAGGCGGGTGGATCACGAGGTCAAGAGATGGAGACCATCCTGGTCAACATGGTGAAACCCCGTCTCTACTAAAAATACAAAAAATTAGCTGGGCGGCATAGTGGCGCGTGCCTGTAATCCCAGCTACTCAGGAGGCTGAGGCAGAAGCATTGCCTGAACCCAGGAGGTAGAGGTTGCGGTGAGCCGAGATTGCGCCATTGCACTCCAGCCTGGGTAACAAGAACAAAAATCTCCGTCTCAAAAAAAAAAGACCTACAGATGAGCTTCAGAGATATAAAACTGCATGGGAATTCTTGCATTTTTTTTTCTTCTAGATAGTGGGCTCATAGCTTTTATCAGATGTTTATGCTGATGACTCAAAGAAACCCAAGGACCCAAGGAGCAGATGATTCTTTGATGACAGAAGCAGAGAACACAAATGATGAAACAATGGACGCTGAACCTGAGTTCCTGCTTCTTGGACAACATATCCCTTCCCTTCACTTTGTCATGAGGGAAGAAAAGGCCTGATACTCCTCCTGTGGATGGTGAAGCTTGGTCACCACATAATGGTAACCCAGAGAAAGGATGAGAGGAATCTACCATTGGTGGGTACCTCTCCAGGAGCAGAACAAAGAGTGGGAACACACGGAAAGTTCGTGTCATCCTTTGTGCCATCTGCCTCATGGTGACCTTTGGGTCCATTCCATCTCATTCCTCCATCATTCCTGGCTGGGGTATGGACACAAAAAATATTTATCTACACTGGAGGAAAGGTTGGAATCTTGACACAAAGGAACTTTCATTTCAACTTCCTTTGTTGACACAAAGAAACTAAAGGGAGGGGCATGTTGGCTCATGCCTGTAATCCCAGCACTTTGGGAGGCTGAGGCAGGCAGATCACATGAGGTCAGGAGTTTAAGACCAGCCTGGCCATCATGGTGAAACCCTGTCTCTACTAAAAGTACAAAAATTAGCCAAGCATGGTGGCACACAGCTGAAATCCCAGCTAATTACTTGAACCCAGGAAGCAGAGGCTGCAGTAAAGCCAAGATTTCACCACTGCACTGCAGCCTGGGTAACAGAGTGAGACTCCATCTCAAAAAAAAAAAAAAAAAAAAACTAAAGGGAGGCCCTCAAAAACACACAAATTGAGATTAACTAAAAAGTCAGTAAATTAGAAATCTGTGATTCAACCTGTAAGAATGTCAGCTAAAAAACAGCTTGCTTGGCACAGTCTTCGGGACATCAGTGTCCTCCTGTCCTTCCTTCCTTGTCTCCTCTCAGGCTGTGTGGGAGGGTGATTTATGGGGGAGCCTGAGGTTGGATGTGTCTCAGTCTCATACCAAGGTTTGGCCAACTATGGAAAAGAAAGGCACTTTCTTGGTTATCTAAAAGGCTACAGGTGCATGAGTTAGAGGTTGTGTGGTATTTGTGGGGTGGGAGGAAGAAAAGGCAGAGATGGCAGCCTGTGCATAGTCTTGCTTTTTATTAGATCTGGTATATTTCTTATTTTACAAAATATATAGAAGAGCCCAAAATGCAAAGCAGTGAACAGTCTTCTGATGGGGAAAGGGTGCTCTCTGGGGGCCCTCCCCTCGGATTCTGGCTGGCTGGTAAGGTAAGCTGAATGGGACGAGCAGGTGTGCTAAGGGGTGGCAGCATGGCTGGGGTGCTGACGATGGGGTTGGAACCTGGGTCCTATGGTCCCTGCCCTCTAGGTGTGCTAAGGGGCATCTCAGGGTAGACTGAGTAGAGCAAGAGGAGAACCTGGGGAACTGAGGAGGTTATCTGGGGGGTTGAGTAGAGCCCAGGTTGATTGAAGATTCTGGTGAATGCCCCCACACTAGGTTCAGATGCTATGCCTGCCTCCCCACTTCCCTCTCCCTTCTAAGGCATCCACTGTGGGGAGTGATAGGCCCAAGTTCAGGAAGGTCCCAAGTCTATAGAGAACATGGGAAAGAAAAACTCAAGTCATAGCCATTGACAGGGACTCTGAGCAGGGAGGGTGGGATGAAACTTTGGCAGGCATCAGCCAGGACATCTCCCATCCACATTCCCTTGCCACGACCACTACCAACACATGCAGGAAGGAAGAGAAGAATTAATGCCAGGAAAGAGCCAGATATCCAGCCCCAGGCTCTCCATGGACACTGAAGAGGGTGTGGAAAACTTCTGGGGCATTTCCAAAAAGACAAAGTCTTCTGCAAAGCCTGGAATCTTATATTTCGATGGCCCGTGGTAGCAGATGTTTTGAACTTGGAGCTATAACCTGGTATGCCTGAGCACTCACAATCTGTCCAGGCCTTTCTACTCAACCCCAGCCACCCCCAAGGACTTACCCATTGACTCAGGCCCAATATTTCTCCCTATACATCCTTGTCCCCCTCCCACAGGAGTCTCAAAGGCTGGTCTGAGAAGCTAGCCAGTGCCAAGAATGGAGCATTCTCTCTGAGAAGGGAGTCTTAGGGGAAATGTTTATGAGGTCGGGGATGGGGAAGCACCATAGCAGGAGACATCTGTCTAGTGTTGTGGTTTCTAGAGTAGGGGTAGGAGGTGGGGAACCACTCAATTCCTACAGGAGGGGCACTGTTAGCACTGGGTGTCAGGCAGGAAGGTGGTGAGAGCTGGTGGGAGTTGGGAACACCCTCCAGATGCACTCTGCCCACCCTCTAGACCCTTTAGCTCCAGAGATCTGGACTACTGAATCCCCAAACTCTTGGATCCCTACAGCCCCGAGAGAGGGCTAGGACGAGGATAGACCTGGGAAGAGAAGGGTGAGGTCCACCTGGACTAGGGCTAGATCATGGTGCCCCCAGGAAACACTGACCCCCCTCTCCTGGGGGACTAGATGACATTGTCAAAGAGCTGCATGGACCTCATGATGTTCTCATCCTGTGGCCATGGTGTGACAAGGCAGATTGAAGAAAGAGAAAGAGAAAGAGCTTATCAGAGACAGGGAGAGGGACACTGAGTCAGAGATGGGGACATTCAAAGGCACAGAGGAAGGAGATGCCCAGAGAGTCCTGAGGTAGGGAAGGGGTCAGCCTCCCACAAAGGAATAGGATTGACATGTGGGGGTGAGGTAGGGAGGTGGTATTCTGCCCAAAGAAGCTTTTGCCTACATTACTGAATCAGGCCTGAGTCCTGGTCAGGGTAACATAGAGGGCAGGGAGCTGTACCTTTTGACAAGACTCAATGAATTCCTCAATGGTCACCACACCATCCTTGTTTCTGTCCATCTTCTGCAAAAAGGTAGTCAGGCAGGGAGAACAGGAGGAACGGCAAGAGAGAGGCAGACAGAAGTCCAGTGAGTTCCCTGCTGATTCTTGGCCTCCTTCCCTTCACTCCAGGGCCCTCCAGCCTACCCAGTCCCAAGCACCTGGAAGAAGCTCTCCACGTGTTCCCTTGGGGCCTCCTCCCGGAGTGCAGGGTACGTGTACTTGCCCATCATGTCATAGATGGACTTCATGATGTCAAGCATTTCCTGTTAGGCCAAGAGAGAAGAGGCTCCTTCCTCAGAGCCTCCAGCCTCCCTTGATCCCTTGCTTGTGGGCATATGTGGGTCATATTTCCCTCCCATCACCCTCTGCACACCACCCCTGTCACCGCCACAGCCCCCCTGCCCGTCAGTTGCCCTGCACCTCCTTGGTGATGCAGCCATCCTTGTTGAGGTCATACAGGTTGAAGGCCCAATTCAGCCTGTCATCTACAGTTCCCCGAAGAATCACCGACAAACCAGCCACAAAATCCTGGGAAGGAGGCAGGAGGGAGCTGTGTCTTCAGGTACTCTTCACTCAACCCCTTCTCTAGGTTTGGCCTGGAGATCCTGGCCCTGAAGTCCCAGGAGACAGGCTTCCCTGGCCCACTTTGCCCAGCTCACCTCAAAACTGACTGAGCCATCATGGTTGGTATCAAAGGCATTGAAGAGAAAAGTGGCATAGGTGCTGGAGTCTGCAGGGTGAGTGTGGAGAAGTAAGTTGACTTCCCCATCACCTTGGCATTCCCAGCCCCTCCAGAAATCCTCCCTGGCTCAGCCTAGAGATGGACAGCTGCTCCCCCTTGAGCCTTGTCCCCTCACCTCCTTGAGGAAAGAACTGGGAGTAAATCTGCTTGAAGTTCTCCTCGTTGACAATTCCACTGGGACATTCCTGGAAGGGGAGGGGACCAGGCTGAGGGCAGAGACAAAATCCCCTTCCATTCACCCCCACCTCCCTCCATGGCCCAACACCCCCAGGGAGGGGGAAAATCTTCAAGCCTCCAGAGGACTCACCACATGGCTCATGTGATGGGAGGCAAGACTTCTTTCCCAGTGCACAAATGAAAAACATGGAACGAAACTGGCAGTCTACAGGTGCCACTTCCTTTATGGACCCGCCCCGGAACGTCCAGCTAGAAGTTCGGCCTCAGGATCTAGCCTCCCTTCCGCCTGCACCTCAAGCACCCAAGCCATGCTTTGTGGGAAACTGTGGACCGGCCCGGGTCCTTCTGTCCCACTCTTGCTGTTTGGCCTCGCCTTGCACTCACGTTCTTGAAGCCCCGGTACAGGACCTGTAGCTCCTTGCGAGTGAACTTGGTTTGCTCCTGCAGCTGCTCCAGACCCTCAGGCCGGTGACACACGGTAGACAATTCAAACTCATCCTCCACACTGTCTGCAGGAGCCGTAGGGAGAACAGCAGCGCCTCAGGCCCGGCCCCCGCGACCCCTTTTCAAATCACTGACCATTCATTCACCCTCCTCCCAGTCCCATCCGATGCCGGAGACCAGGCTGCCAGTTCCCTGGGCCCCTAGCTGAGGACGCTGAAGCAAGGAGAAAAGATGCTGGCCATCTTCGAAGTCTATGAGCGGGCCAAGGCCAGGCCTGGCCCCAGAGCCAGGGATCCGACTCAGTGCTCGCCCCTGGGTCCTGGATCCCTGGTTGGATGGGAAGGCCTCCAGCTGCCTCTTCGTTTCAGAAAGTGAGGAGTGGTAAAAGCGCGTTCGAGAGGGGGCGTCTGAGGGTCAGAGCTCTGGGGCTTCGGGGACCGACTCAGATTCTCCCAGCCCCACCCAGCCTTGCCCCGTCCACTCCCTCCCCTCGCCCCGCCCCACCCCATCTATCCCAGCCAGCCATGCCTGAGCCATGCCCCGCCCAGCTCAGCCAACCTCCATCCAGACCCCACACCCGGCCCCAACTCAGTCCCGCCCCGCCCCCGTGTCCAGCGCCCAAGCAAGTACCCCCAAGCGCTCGCATTGCCGTCCCGCCCCGCCCCCACTAGGAGCGTAAGTCACCTGGGTCCAGCAGGCGGGGTCTGTGGGGGCGGAGGGAGGCTGGGGCGGCTAATGCTGAAGGGAGCGAACTGTCACCGAGAAAGCGGAAGACCCGGCCAACTGCAAACACACACCTCGCCCCTCACACTCACAGCAAACCTCACACCCCAGCCCGCGCAAAGGCACACCCAACAAGCACAGACACACACGAAATGGACCCCACGCACACAAGCTTGCGGGACTCAACACCTGACCTTTTCCGAATCCAACCCCGTGTGGGACCCAAGTCCAACACAACACACGCTCAAATAAGTACAAAACGGGCCTTTATGGCTTGCAAAATGCAGTATGATCCTATGAGGTGGGAAAGGCCCAACTGAGGAAACGGAGAACTAGAGACAAAGTGAGGTCACTCAACTCGAGATCACTCAGCAGGGAACCAGGCTGGGACAGAAAATCCAAATGCCCTGGCGTCTGGAGGAGGGTGGGTGCCATCCTCTACATCCTTCACCGTCCGTTCTGGGCACGGGCAACACATATCAGAGGCCCACAACACAGTGGGCACGGGGCAGCCGCAGAGGTGCAGACACTAACCCAGCTAAGCCACAATATGGACCCTCACGGCCACCTGGTCTTGCCACAGCCACACATGCTTGGGCCTCAGCCTGGTCACACTGGTCACACCCACACTCTTGGGTCCCACCGAGTTTTGCGGGAGCTGTGATGCCCACGCACACTCGGGACCTGCCCCCAACTGACCACGCCCACGCACTCTGGCACCAGCCGTGTGCACACACAGTAGCCACGCCCCCTTATACATTAGCCCAGCCAGCGCCCACCTCTGCTTGCGAGCGCGCGCGCGCATACACACACAAACACACACGAAGGCCTGGACACGCCACCATACACACCCGCAGGCCTGGGCATGCACGCGCATACACATACACACACGCAGGACTGGGGCGCACCCCCCACCCACGCAGGCCTGGGACATGTGCGCGTACACACACACACACACACGCAGGCCTGGGGCACACCCCCCATGCACACCCGCAGGCCTGGGACATGCACGTGCACACACACGCAGGACTGGGCACACCTCACGCAGGCGTGGGACATGAGCGCGCACACACAGGCAGGCCTGAGGCACGCTCCCCATATATACACACCCACCGGACTGGGGCATGCACGCGCACACACACACACGCAGTCCTGGGACAGGCGTGCGCACACACACGCAGGCCTGGGGCACGCGCACACAGACACGCAGGCCTAGGGCGTGCGCACACACGCACGCACACATCGGGCCCCGCCCCCGGAAGCACAGGAGAGGCACTTGCTTTCACTGACTGAGGGCAGGGCTTGGGGCCCGCAGCACGGCAGCAGCTTGAGGAATCGCTGCTTCAGCGCTTTTTTAGTGGGCCCTGGAGGGTGGCCTGGGAAGAGAGAAGACCCCAGGAAGGCACATTAACTCCCACTGTTCCTCTGTTCCCTATCCCCTCCCCACCAGTCGCAAATCAACCCCATCTGGGGATGGGGCTGGGGGAGGAATTGGAGTGGGGAAGGGTGGCTGGAATAGGGTTAGGGAAGCCCAGTGAGTCCATAGAGGTGAGACTCAGGCACTTTGTTTAATGGGATGAGGCCGATGACAGTGAGACGGCAAGGAGGAGGTGGCAGTGGCCTCAGTGTCTTTGTTGACCTAGTGCCTTGGCTCAAGTGCCATGGCTGGACCTCTCAGGGTGACGTCCAACCCAAGGATTGCCTGGATAAGAACACCTCTCTCATACACACACCTATGATGACAGGCATGTACAGTGACATGTAGAATGATAAATCACAGTTATGGATGCCAGTGACAGCTTGATATCCAGTAACTCACACCTGATGGCCTAACATGCATGCTCCAACACACGCATGCACGCACGCATGCACACACACACGCACACACACATAACTATGATCTGGTACTCCTTAACCGAAGCATATACAAATGAGACCTAAGTAAAACAGGGTGCACACACATGGAGACCCACATAGGCTATCACTCACACAGCATGATCAAACCACACAAGAACACACCATGCCTCTAGACAGCATGACACACGAGTCTACTAAGAACACTATGACACATTGTGACCTTATAATATGATACATTTGAAGGTTGTCGTGACACATAACCCTATCATACTGTGACCTGGGTCCCCATGGCACCCAGATATCTAAGGCTGTACCTCACCCATAGAGGCTTCATTTTTCCTGGGTACACCCAGTTTTCTTTCTTGTAACCCCTTCTCATTCCAAGGTGACCAGAATCTTCCTGCCAAAGGGCAGGGTTCCTCATCAGCTAACTCATCTACCCTAAACTGCGGCCCCTACCCAGCCCTTTCCAGTATGGCTTGCTCTTTGAAGATAAAAATAACAGCAGACTGAGACAATAAGAGATCTTGGAGGTGAGTATTCTGGTGTATTGTGGGGCTATCCAGCGCCCACTGATCACAACTCGCCTTCCCCTCTTTTCCCCTTATTTCTGCACATGTCCTGCAGCTCTGACTGACTGGAGGACCCTCAGTATTAGTGTGTGTGTGTGTGTGTGTGTGTGTGCGCGCGCGCGTGTGTGTCTGTCTCCCAGCTGCACTGCATCCAGAGTCCTGGGTCAGAGTCCACCGGATCTACACAGTGGCTAAAGTCGGCCTCAGTCCATTCCTGGAGGGGTCTAACTTCCTTTAGTTAAAGGTTACTCCCCCTCCATATACCCCACCCTCCCAAGCCAGGCTTCACCTTCCAGACCAGGAGGGTAACTGGGTGAGTAACCACCTCCTCCCACCCCAGGAGCCATGGAGAGGTGGGAGGGAGGCGGTGGACCAGGCAGGGGAATCGATGGAGGCCTGGCCTCCAGCCCAGGGCTCCATTAGCCTGGACTCTGCTTTCCCGAAGCCGGATTGCACCTGGGGCCTCCAATGGTGAAGTCGCCCGACTTAGGGGTGGCTCTTCCTGCTCCCCACCCCAGCCCCTACCTGCTTCCCAGCCTCTGTCTCCTCTAAAGGTGGGAAGAGAATGACTGCCTGAGATTCCCAGATGAATCCTCTTCCCCTTTCCCATCTAAACTGGGTGGTAAGTTAGAGCTCAATCAACTTCACCTTTTCCAGATCGAATGAGAACAAGCTCACCCCAGCTGTCCCAGTTCATCTTGGTCCAACTGCCTGTTCCCCACTCCACCCCAATAAAGGCAGCAGAGCATTGAAGGGTGAGCTGGGAGTCTTCTGCCCTTACTGAACCCTAGAGCAGGCAATTCATCGACCTTCCTCTTGTTACCAGCTTCCTTCATATTTTTCCAGTTCTTTCAGGCATCTACCCTGCAGTGCTCCATGGTTCTGGCCTGTCTTCCTGCCCCTGGTGGCACTGGGGAACGTCCATTCCATGGAGCTACACAGTTCTTGCCATGAAGAGGAGGGGGAGGTCAAAACTCCCAAGGGGGAAGCAGAAGTGCTGTCTTCTCCACCCCAATATTACTCTCCTTACTGACTTTGGGGTGGGGTGGGGAGGGGAGTTGATTTTTCCACTCCCAGTGTCTAGGCCCTGGAGACTATTCTGCCCTTGGATCCTGACAGGAGCCTGGAGAGGTAAGGGGGCTTGGGAAGCAGGGTCCCTGATCTGATCCACTCCTCATTCCTAATCAGAGCTGGGCTATAAATGTCTCCATCACAATGTTCATACTCTTTTTCCCTCCAGAACCCACCTCCTCCCAAGCCTTGGGTAAGGAGCTGGTATATCCTCAGGGAACTCTGGAAACAGGCACATACACAACCTGATACTCAAAGAGGCTCAGCCACACACTGTGCCACTCAGGCCTGGCCACATCCACCATCTTACAAAGCCACATGCCCTGTCACTCTTACACATACAGCCCCATCCCTCTCCCACACACAGGCTCACACAGTTACATACTTTGTACTCTCTCACATACAGAACACAAAGTCACACACTGAGCCCATACACCCCATAAGCTACACTGCACAGATGGAGGTGTGGAGAGAATGCCCAGGCACTGTGGTGGACCCCCTGACTCCGAAAAGGACTGCCCAGAAATCTGGTGTTATCTCAGGATCCCTGGAACTTCCCTCTTCTACTACAGACACTCCTTCCCTATCTCCAGACCCCTCCTGGTATCCCCCAGAATCCCCTTGCCTCCTCATCTCCACACCCCAGTCCTTCCACACTGTACCCCTCATCACCTCGTGACACCTCATCCTCTAGATTCCCTCCTCCCTCCATATCTACTCCTCAAGGCCTCCTCTTCCCCTCTGCCAGATGTAGTACCCCCCAAGCACCCCTACTCACCTTGGAGATGCCTGTCCCATCACTCACCTGCTCATCCCTGCCCCTAGTCATGAAGACAGAGAAATATCCCCTCCCCAGTGCTGTGGGGCAGCAGCTCAGACATGCCAGGACACCTGGATTACCTTCCAAGGAGACAGGCTCAAAGAGGCCAAACTGCTCCAGGACCTTGACAAACAGAGCGAGGACCACGAGCACAGCGACCATCTCCAGCCCTTCCAGGTTCATGGTGGGCCTGGGGCATGGCCCCTACAGGGCTGAGGTTCAGACCCGCCGGCTGGCTACCTCACAGCACCTCCCCCTCAGGCTCCCCAGCCTGAGTAGGACCGCCTGCAGCCTCCCTCCCCCTCTCCCTCCCTGGATCTCCATCTCCTCCCTCTCTCCCCTCACCCCGCCTCTGCCCCACAAGCCTCCCAACCACAGACGCCGCCTCTTCCTCTTCGCAGGGCTACCTCAGCCTTTGGACTGGCACCTCCTAGGGAACCTTTGGTGCCAAGAATAGGGACCAGGACAGGACAAGGTATGGGCCAGAGGAGGCAGGGGGCAGTGACCTGCCTCTGTCCCTGAGGAGTGCTTCCCCTAGATATCCTGTGGCTAGTCTGTGCCAAAGGGAGGGGGCACAAGGAGGAGCTGAACTTAGGGAGAAGACACAGAAGGGCAGGGTGTATGTGTGTGAGAAACCACCATCTGCACATGTATAAGTAGTCAGACACATGGGTCAGAACATGTTACAGTGGCTGGGTGTTTCCTGTGTGTATATTCCTGTTTGTCAGTATGGGAGCGCGTATGTCTCCTCTTATGTGTGTGTCTTTGTGCGCTTACACATGATTGTGCACCTGTCACAAAGGTGTGTGTCTGGTGTATGGTTATGCATTTCAACTCTTACACATATGGGTATATGAGCCAGTGTCTGGTCTGCATGTGTGGGAGTGTGTTGGAGTATTCATGAGTGTGCACGGGGAGTGAGGTTTTTGTGTTTTAGTAGGGTTGTAGGATGTGGGTCTGAAGTTTGTTAGGTATGGGTGTGTCATAATTTGGAGGGTGGGTCTACCGTGGTGTCATTGTATTGGCACGGAATTGTATGGGAACAGGGGGAGAAGGCAGTGACCTCTCTCACTAGGAGGACACCATCAGTATCGATTTGGTTGCCATGGAGACTGTGAGGACGAAAGCACTCTCTTCCCACAGGCCACAGACAGTGAAACTGAGGCCCAAGGGAGGGAGGATAAGATCCAGTAGTCTAGGCAGAAAAAGGCCACGTAACCCCATCAAGACCCTCTGGGGAGGGGACTTATTGCAGCTGCCTTTGGGGCCAAGAGATCCAAACTTCTTGGGAGATGAGGGAAACTGCTGGCTCCTTCTGGCTGGGACCTCATCCAGGAGATGCCAAAGCCCTGCCTGCTCCTCAGGAACTGTTATTGAGCTGACAGAGAAGCCCAGCTGCTGTAGGAGGGAAATCTGAATCCTCTAAGGGGGCCACCCCTCCAGCCAGCATCCCCAGAATCCCTCCCTCCTCTTCCCTGCCCCTTCTTGGTGGGTGGGAGGGTGTGTAGGGGGTGGGGAGAGGCCTACAGAGACAATAAACCACAAGACTAGGCCTCTGGGTCAGTAACAGCATTACTACCGCTGCTGGCTAATGGTGACTGAGCGTTCACCACGTACTAGATAACGCGCTCTGTGCTTACAGGCACTGTAACACCGAATTTTCACAATAAACCTATGAAGGCAGTACTATTATCCTTGTATTACAGGTGGTGAAACTAGGTCAAAGATAAGCAAATCTCCAAGATCAGAGCTTCACTTTTAACCCAGTCTGACTCTGAGACTTCACTCTAAACCACCACACTACACTGGCTCCCTTCTTAGAATGCTGGCCCACGCAGGAGGCCCAATTTAGGGCGACTGGCCCAGAAGGAGCCCTCCCTCTTGTCCAGCTCTTGGATGACTGTCTCAGCCCAATTTGTGGGGTGGGGGCCAGTCCCTATGGCCCCAGTTTAGGTTGGCTGATCTGCAGTTCTAAATAGTCACCACCAGGGGGCAGGCGTCCCACCTCACACGCCTCTTCCCTCTCTCCCGACCCGCCCCATGCAGGGAAGGTGTG